AATCCGATTAGTTGTTTCAGCCCAAATTAAGATTGTTTTTGCACTTTGTATGCTGGGATTATAAATGCTGCTAGACCCAGAGATTTCCATACACCTACATTTTCCAGTTTCAGAAATTGTTTAGATTTGCTAAATGCCAAATGAATCAGGTTAAAATTTGTTGTATAATTTTCCTATTAATAGATTAAAATGAAATTGAAATTCTAAGCTTGAATAAAACATTTAGATGGACGTGGAAACATCATTGGAATATATAGCCATCATACTATTCAGGTAGAACATGGGACAAGAAAAACCCAGAGCAAAGGTTGAAGACCTTGTGTACTGTAGATGCTGCTGGAGCAATTAGACAGTCAGTATTTACTCCACTCAGAGAGGAAGAAGCCATTACTCTGATAGTAACATTTCAAAAATCTTATAGCGAAATCAGCTTTCATATTCACTTAGGGACAAAGAATTTACTGTTGGACACATCTGCTCTGGTTTAATTAACGTTAAATTTAAGTCTTTGGACATAACGGCTAAAGAACTGAAAGGGTGTGTCTGAAGCACGGTTGTCGACAGACCCGACCCAGTTACACCGGTTCTGTCAGGAAGAAAGGGCCACACTTCTAGCAAATAACTGTGAGATGCCTAAAGAAGGAAACCCGCAACATCTGAACTAAGTCGAGAAAATCATCAACTTCTATATGAAGACAGTTAATTATTTGATTTGTTTCAAACAAAGAGATATTTTAATAGTACTGTAACTCACTTTATTCTTCATCTGAGGCACAAAATTAGTGAATCCGAGATAATCCTTCTTACTCACTCCTGTTGTCAGCGGTTATAATGTAATTCCCATAAGCTTTATGCAATTAATTGTTCAAGACAAGACTGACACCTGAATGCACTAAAACAGATTTAAAAAGAGCATCAATTAGAAACTGAACCTACCTTAGAGCCTGGTAGTCGGGAGGCCATTGTAATTGCAAGGAGAGCAGCTGGACCCAGAGCTGTTTCTCCATTTGCAGATAATCTGAAGATTAAAATGACATCAAAAACACATAAACATTGATAAATGGTATAATTTTAATGAACAAAACAAAACATAAAAGGAGATGGGATCACATTAACGTGTGCTTACCCTAGAATCTGCCTCTGTAAGCAGTCTTTGGTTTGTGAAAGTGGGGGAGGAATTGGAAACTCTGCTGCAGCCTCTTTCAAAAAGCTGCTGTCATTCAACTCAGCACCACTGAGAAGCTGTGATTGATGATGATTGCTGCCATGCATTGTGACCTAGAGATAAATAGAAGGTAATATGTGGTTTATGGGATCGGAAAGAAGATTAAGATGAGTCCTTCTACAATGTGATAATAAACATACCTGGTAGTTGAAAGTGATGAGTCCAACTCGAACATCAGGCTGTTGGTCACTTAGTTTCTGAACGCATTGCAACACAGCTTCTTGAACAAACTAGATTAGTTCAAAACAAATAAAAAGAAACCCAGTTTTGAATAAATTGGATTTGATTTTGATACCTGGGCAAAAATTTTGCTTTTCTCTTTCCTTTAATATACATTCTTATAGTACCATCAGGATTCTATGTGTAGTTTTCATTTATGAACTGAGGAATTAGAACATAGTTCACCTTCAGTCTGGATCTGTTGCTGTTCTGCCCCCCTTCCAACACCTTGAATAAAGTAGAGATGCCACATGTGGATTTCTAAACGCAGCCTATAAGACCATGAGAGAAGAATCGAATCCGGTGTTGTACCTCAGAGGTGATGCTCATTGAGCCTGACGCGTCGATGCAGAAGAGCAGCAGGGAATCAGCAGAAGGCAGCCGCTGTTCTTCAGGGTTAAGCAGAAAGAGTTCATCTTTCTGAGTACTTATATGACTCTTCGGCCCACTGGATGGTCTGGTCAAATCACCACTCTGACAAATGTAACACACTTCAACCTACAATGAAGCAAAGAGCAGAAGGGCATCAATCTCTAAATGCTTTTCTCATGCATTTCATGTTAAGAGGACATGCTGTTTATTTAGTTTGGGGGAAAAAGGTGAAAATAAGGTGATACTTTGGTTTCTGTGTTTTATCAGTAAAAACAGGGGAAAGTGTGGTGTGAAAAAAAAACCTTTGTAGAATCACCTTTACTGCAGTTACAGTAATTTTGAGTTACGTCTTGATCAGCTTGAACATCTGCATACTGAAACCATTGTTCACTCTTCTTTGCAAAACAAACTTGAGCTCAAACAGACTATATGCTGATGTCACCACCATGTATCAGAGTATGGATAGTGTGTTTATGGCGTTGGAGCGCCTTAGATTGCTGCCAAACATACCATTTTGAATGCAAGCAGAAAAGTTGAACCATACTTGATATGCCTTTCTTCTTACCATTGGCCTTTTGGTTGCTTCTCTTAAAATACTCAGTCTAGGTGGATGACCATGTTTGTTGTTTATGTTCAAAGGTTGGGATGTTTTTTTTTAGAAAACAACTTTGTCCACAATGTCCTCCCTGACCAGTGCAGTGGGCTCCTTGGCTTTTGTGGCACTGGTTAATATCTAAAGAACTTATTACTAAAGTTGGAGTCATGACTCTTATTTAGGGTCCTTGATCAACCAGTATGGGGCTTTGAGATGCACTTCAGAAATTAAACTAAACAATAAATATTAATATTAAAGAGCTTAAAGGTATGAAAGCATAAAAAACAAAAACAAACAAAAACTAGATACTATGGTTACTGATGCCATTTCTAATATTTTTAGATGTGTGGTTGATTGCTTTTGAAGAAATGTCTGAATACTCAACCAAAAGTTTATGTCATGAGTCTTTCTTGGTACCATTTTGTGGCTCGGAAGCTGAAGAGTTTGGTAATCTCTGCTCTGGCGAACCAAAAAAAGAACAGCTGCCTTTATGCTTAGATCATCTATCTATGCCTCCTCATTCTATCTGAGATGTGGATGCAAGGGAAACAGGTCCAATAGCTAACCCCAGGTATCCCTCTCCCCATTGAGAACCTCCATCTTATTCTTGGGGACTCCAGGGTCGTGTAGAAAGAGAGCCAACCAGGGGCTTCCTGATCAGATGCCGTAAATATCCATGTTTCCATCAACGTTTCTGTTATTTGCATTTTGTGTATTGTGTATTGCATTGGAGGGAATTGACTGAAACAACAAAATTTGAATCAACTTTTACAACATTTTGAGAATAGTTTTTATGCTCGCTTGAGGTTGTTTTTTGAAAAACTGGTATAAAAAGTAAAAGCAAAAAACATTTGGTGAATAAGATTTGAAGAATCAAAAACGTACCTAACATGAATGATTCTAATTTTCTCCATTGCTGATTTGTGGTCGGTGCTAGCTTGTTACATCTACTTCCTGTTTATTACAGCCTAGAATGACCTAAACTTATGACGACATTATGCTTTGCATGAGGCTGCTCAGTGATGCAGTGGGTAGCACGGCTGTCTTGCAGTAAGAAGGTTCCGGGTTCAAATCATGGCCCCGGGTCTTTCTGCATGGAGTTTGCATGTTCTCCCTGAGCATGCGTGGGTTCTCCCTGGGTACCCCGGCTTCCTCAACAGTCAAAAAACAATTAATTGTCTTCCTTAGGTGTTAGTGTGTGAATGGCTGTTTGTCTCTGTGTTTCCCTGCGATGGACTGGTGACCTGTCAAGGGTGTACCCCGCCTCTCGCCTGTAGACAGCTGGAGAAAGCACCCCTCACGACCCCACATGGGATAAGCGTGACGGAAAATGGATGGATGGATGCTTTGCATGGCCTGGGTAAATAACACCAATGAATAAGGATACGTCTAATGTGCCATTTTTCACTAATATGCTAAACGATTGCTAAAAATTCATATAGCATTTAGTTAGAACCAAGGCTAATGACTCCTTTAGACACGAATAAGCAGCTACTTTACGGTGTTCTCCCCACAGATGCGAGATTCTCTAAGCCCATTATTAGGAGGAAGCTCCTTTCAGCAGCTTATATTCGGGATCTCATTCCTTCTGTCAAGATTCGGCTCTTGTGACCAAAGGTGAGAGTCGGAACGCAGACAGACCTGTAAACACAAGCTTTGTTTTGTAGGGCAATGTTTTCTAACTTTAGCAGTTGACTCTACCTCATTATTTTAAAATATTATTCATAAATCCAAGCTGCTGTGATGGCAGTTTGTTGCACTACATTTTATTAAGAATATAAAAAAAGAGGGCCTCTTAAAGATGCCATTCACACTTTTCAGGTTAATTTCTGTGTTTCTTTGTAAGTTTGTGGTCAAAGTAAAGGTTACCTGTAATGCAAATACCTCATCTTTCTGCCAACTGTCCAACACTGAGCCGCATCGTGAGCAGAACACCGGTTCTCCAAGTGTGGGCGCCTCTGAAAAAAAAAACACATGGAACATCATCAGGTATGCAAATAGGATAAAAAAATCATGTCAGATGACTCATGCTGATAAAATTCACCAACCTCTCTCCTCTGAGAGCAATTTTCCTAAACTGATAAGAACAACATTAGGATTTCCTGGCAGAGGCCCCTTATCTGTTTCAGAAAAGCGGAAAAACACATGCATGAAAATGTGAATCTGTTGTCCTTTAGCAGTTTAACGTATGCCATAATAATTACTGTATCTCTACCTGTAGACAGTGGTGGCTTGGTTGAGGGAGGTGTCTGAGCGGTTGTAGGAGGCGAAGCAGGTGAGGGTAGTACCATCACATATTCTGGTGTAAGACTCATAAACGAAGGTCTTGGAGGCAGAGGTGGACCTGGTGGTTTAAGATGAGAAAAAACCAGCAGGATTACCTTCGAGTTCTTCCAGATTAAAAAATGATAATAAAAATGTCTTACTTGGTCCAGACATGATTCCACATTCAGGGCGGACCTTCACCTTACCACTTGGACCTTCCGGTAATGTAAAGGAGTAAAGATTATCTGCTGGATGCATGTTGGAATCAGCCTCATAATTCGGTTGATCATAATCCAGCGTCTGACTGTTGGCATCAGAAGAGGCATGGGGCTGTGCAGGGTTTTTGTTAGAATCGGTAGTCGCTGTAGATCTCACAGTCGATGGCAGAAGGGCTGTATAGGAGGGAAAAAAAACACAGAAAGCATTTAATAGAAATAATTCAAACATGCCACGAAGAATTGAGGCAGTTCTGAAGGCAAAAGGGGGTCCAACCCGTTACTAGCATGGGGTACCTAATAAAGTGGCCGGTGAGTGTACGTCTAATCTCAAATCAGTTTACAGTATAGAGTTACACAATAGAGTTTTTTTTTCTTCAGTTTTTCAGGTAAAACTGAACAGACTGAAATTCTTTTTTTGATGATGGAGTTTTTCCTTTGTGTGTTTCAATTTCTGTGTTGAAACTTTAACCTATACTCTGCAAGTTTCCACATCAGTGTGTGCCATTATTTGAAAACAAGGCCACTGGGGGCTTTGCTTAGTTACTCTGAAGAGGAATCTAAAACTTGGAGTATTTTAGAAAGAAAAAAACAAACAACTGAAAGGAGTGCAGCACAGACTGAGACCCAGGAACTTCTGCATCAGAACATTTTAACAGCAGTTACCAGGACAGAAGAGGTCCCCAACAACTTGAATATCAGCAATGTCTGGAGGTATAAATGCATTAGGGAGAGCAGCATTTTTTTTTATTTTGCCTGCAGCTCTCCATGGGTTGCATTGAGAGGGACAAATTGAACATCTTCACCTCGCCAGGCGATTAAAAGAATGTGTCTTTGAGGAACCCGTGGATCCAAAGTAAAGGTTTGGTGTGCTGTTTGTATATCTGGTGATCATACCCCAGCCTAAAAGTGAGAGCAGCTGCCTGAAACTGACTGAGAAGAAAATAATCTGATCACAGATTCTCAGAGGAGGAAGATAGTTATCTTTCCACTGCCTGAATAAAAAAGTCATCTCCTTAACTGGACACAGGCTTCTGGTTTGAGAACAACCGCCACATCCTCACTGTTTATTGGACCTGCTGAACGCAACCTACTTCTGCTATTCCTGAGAGCGGTTCACAGTCAGAGGTAGTGGCGCTTCTGTCATTAGCTGTGCTTTAAAGTAAATCTAAAAAACAACGTTGGTTTGTTGACATCATTTCTGCTTTTCTCCTCACCAAGTCACAGAGTTACTCATAACTTTCAGCACAGTCACCCACACTTTAATTACTCTCAAGTTTGTTCATCTTTGAAGCTTTAAAAGAAACAAATAAGAAATAACAAAACACATAACTCCAGGTTTAGTTGGAATGAAATGTTCACTAATAACGTCAGTTTCTCTTTACCCGTCTTTTGAGAAGGTGGCATCAATGGAGACCCTGCTCCTACGGGGGAAGAAGCTGCCTCTGCTTTCCTGGAAACTTCTGGAAATTTGTAGAAGAGCGAAAAGGGCTTTGGGATCCTGACCTCCCGGCTTTTTTCCAGCTGTGCAGGTGAAGAAGCAGCCGACTGATCTGCTTTGAGTCTTGGATCAACTGTTTGGGTGGGAGGAGGAGGAGGAGCAGTACGAGGACGGATGGGTTTACCAGGAGGAAGGAGCGCTAAAAAGAAAGAGCAACATGTCATTATAGCTCAGCTCTCCATGCTATAAACAAAACACATAAATAGAAAAAACTTTCTTTTTAATTTTGTAGTAGTTGTTTTCTTATTAAAACTGAGTGTTTCATCATCAACAGCAGGCGTAGCAATCCCAGTTTGGAAACTCAAAACTAAAATCTGAGAAAGCTGAAGCTTAGACCCCTTTTCACCTTCTAAAAAAACGTGAAACTCAAAAAAAACAAGGAGCATTTGAAATGCTTGCCAGAAAAACCCTGCATTTTTACATTTATTCAGTTGAACATGAGTTAACTTTGCCCCTGATTTTTGAAAACAAAACCCATCCCGTATAACTATGTTGACATGGCCTTGCAAAAATGTACCAAATAAAAACTGTTTTCCTAAGAGGATTTAGAGTTAAGATGGATAAAAATAAATTGTTACTTTGTTTTGGTCTCTAACCTAATAAAACCTAGTAAAGATATTTGGGTTTAACATCATAGAATTCAAGAATTAAAACCATTTTCCAAGGCTCTATTTTGTGACACTTCCATGACCAACTGTTCTTTATCTTTATTATTTGGTTTTAGATTAAGTTTCATCAGTTCCCCATAAACCAGGCTTGTCATCTTATCCTTTATTTACTCAGTTCGACTGTCTTCCAGATGTTCCACTGTAGGAACATCAAGGGTTACTTGTCACAAACAGCAACCATTATGCATGCAAAGAGATGGAGCCACTAAGATGTTGCTTTACTTGGAAGAAAAAGCACCAAAGTAAGAAAATCTTTCCCAAAAAACTTGCAAGAAATCTATGTGTAAATATATGTTTAGAATGATGTTTGGTTAAACGAGGACAGGTCAAGGGAAGTATGGAGCCTTAAACAAAACTGGGTTTATTGGAATCTAGGAGATGGGGCCAAATTTAATGAGCTTTAGTCAAAAACAATCAAATATAATTGGGGAATATTTAATAAGCTGCACTGGTGGACGGAACTTAAACACACAAGAATGGATTAAACTCATATCAGATTGTAACTATGGTGACCCAATAAAATATATTATGTTTATCAACTATAACTAAATCAAAGCCAACCGGACTTTTCCTTAGTTGTTCTGAATATGTTTTCAAAACCTATCCAAGAGTTTGTCAGGCATGTAGTTGAGCAACCTGGAGATTAGCCGCTGCAAAGCATATGGGGGCAAACTCCTTTAGAAGAGTCCAAAGTCAGACATCACACATTCCCTTATGGTAATTAGGATTCATTTGTTTGCTGTTAGTTGGTTACTATGTCACCTGAATCCTGAAGAAACACCTTCGAGTCATTTCTTTGAAATTGGCATCAGTGCAAGATAGATGCTTTCAAGCTGAAACCACAGCTTTCATGCATCTACTGCGTCATTATCTCCTTTTTGACAAGGACAGGTTCCCAAACCTCTTTTTCCAACCACCCATCTGTTTTGTAAACTCTAAACATCGTTGTCACCAGAACTCTGTCTTTTGCTTTTGCAATTTGAATGGAGCTGACTATGCTCCAAGCTCCTGGCTCCGCTGTGCTGTGCATTGAGTGTATTCACTTGTCATTTGCTTGCTCTGTGGTAAGGGCTGGTTATCCCCGCGCAGCAGTGTGTCGCAGTGAGCTTGTCGCAGATATTTTTGATTTATGCCCAATATTGAAGCTTGGTCTGTGTTATGTTATTCCAGGCCACAAGGCAAGAGGGACAATCACGAACTAGCTGTGGGTCTAGATACCGCCGAGGCGGTGACGAAGTGGGGGCAAGTTTGTGCGACACAGGAGAGACATATGGGCAAAAAAGAGCAGGGATCCAGGTTAAAAAAGGGTCCCAGCATTTTCGTGAACCTCCCTCTTCTAGCTGGTCCAACTTTATGAGTAGTTTCCATAATGGTGGTCATACAAACAAAACAAGGCGCTAAGGAAATACGCATAGTGAAGAGCGGATATAGAATTGACCAATCAGAAGCCTCCTGTCTGCGGCACAGTCTGCTTGTCACCTACAATTTTGGAGAGGTACAGCAGAGTGTCTGCAGGGGGGGCGGGGGCATCTCTGCATTAACTGCAACACACACACAGACAACCTGGTTGCTGAGTATAAATCAGCCTGTAGTCAGAGTTATATGCCCTACAGTGATGATGATTCTTTTCACTTTTAGAAAAGCAAACTTTCCAGTTCTTTAAAACTTAAATTCAGCATTGAATAACTAAAATGGCTCAATTCATGTATCCTGAAACCTTAAAAAGTGTATATATATATATATATATATATATATTTTTTTTTTAAGTGTCCTGTCTGTCAATGTGGCAATAAGAATAATTGTCTTGATGCTAAAAAGAGCCCAACAGATTTTACTTTCACAAGTGGATGAGTAGGGCTATTGCCATAGTGTTCCGCTTGTTTTATGCATATAAATTGCTTTATTATAATTATGCAGGGAGTTTTACAGATTATATGAACACTGCAATGTATGGAGAACAGGAAAGGAAAAACAGAAAAAAAGGAGAAAAGATGAAAGAGGAGATAAAAGGGAGATGATGATAAAACATTTTCAGTCTGCTTCATCGCCTGCAAAGAGCTGTAAAAAGAACAGCACAACCAACGGACATGGTACAAGACATACAATAAAGTAACACCTAGATACCATCGCTGAAGTAGTATTATTTAATCTGACATGTACTCTCTGTTACCTAAAGTATTTTTAATTCTCAATAAACAAATAAAAGTCAGCTTTATACCAGATTTTCACAACTGCTACCGCTATGACGTCTACAGTAGTAACATACTGACTAACATTAAGTATTGAACAGAAACCCACATCTAAAAAAGAAGCAGATTTAACCTCATTAAAATAAACCAGTGTTTCAATAACCTTCACCCTATTAGCATACGTGATTCAGGAAGCAAGTGATTCCAGCTGAGCAAACTGAAGTTTGCAACAGTTTTACCTGAAACAAAGCCTTGCAGTTTCAGCTGTGTGCATATTATTCATCACCTGGTGATGCTTTGCAAACCAGTTCTTCGAGAATCTCAGGGAAAAGGAAAAATCTGTCAACACATTTTCTCTTCCTGCAGCAGCAGACATTCTTAAAGTAAATACATTACCCTATGTCTTTACTTTAAGAACCCTAATCTCTGCATGTTTTCCATAGACGCAGGAGCTAAGAAACAGCATTATGGATGTGTTAATACCAGTTGGCCTTTTTAATGAAAGCCTGAATATCTTTCAAACATAGTGGTTTGCTTAGTTAAAGAAAGCCAAGCAGCAGGTGGACAAAGATGTTTTGTTTTTGTTTTGTTGGATGAGTCCAGTTGGAGTTGTGTTACCTGAACGTTTAGCCCCATTGGATCGTTGGATTTCCCTCTGGCTCAGTGATTGCGGCACATAAACATACCCACAGGCAAATTCCATTGGGCCCCAATCTAACAGCAAAAGAATTGACACAGTTTTCACAGAGTAAGGTGACAAGTTACATTTTACACAAATAGCTAACAAACAAATAACATGAATCTGTTCATTACAGCTTCAGATATTACTCAGATTTATCAAGTCACATAGGTCAACATCAGCCTGTTCAAAAACTTAATAATTAGAAGACGTACTCACGGATGTAGAGGCTTTGGGTTTATATCTGTACAGTAGAAGCAGTAGCATTAAATCCTCTCAGGGCTCACAAATGTTTGAAGGGCTTTCAAACCTCAGACATCTTGTCTAACAGGTTTCCCTGTCTTCAAGAGTCAGTTTCGCAAAACAGATTTAAGAAACTCACTCAAATCCTTAACTCTGAATGGATCTAGCTTCAGGTTGGAAACTCAAGAGTTTTGGGTTTCACAACTACGGAAGAGGATTAGGGCGACTGAAAAAAAAAAGTTAACTGATTATTTTTATTTTATTTCAGTATAGTATGGGGAAAAAAGTCAAAATTCTGACTTTAATCTCAGAATTCTGACTTTTTTTAATTGTCAGAATTCAGTCAGAACTCAGTCAGAACTCTGAGAAAAAAAGTCAGAACTCTGAGAAAAAAAGTCAGAACTCTGAGAAAAAAAAAGTCAGAATTCTGAGAAAAAAAAGTCAGAATTCTGAGAAAAAAAAGTCAGAATTCTGAGAAAAAAAAGTCAGAATTCTGACTTTTTTCCCATGTTAAACTGAAATAAAATTTAAAAATCAGTTAACTGTTTTTTTTTTTCCAGTGGCCCTACTCCTCTTCCGTACACAACAGCTGCAGTCAGTTAGTTTAATCAAATTTAAGAATGTCCACTAAGAGTTTAGCAGGTCTGTAACAACTATAAAGAGCTATTTGCATTGGAGCCCCCATTCGGAGAAAGTATTTAAAAGAACAAGCAACAGCGCTACAGTTCAAGCTGTTCAAGTTAATGTCTTATTTTCTATGCAGACAGCTATAGCAGGCCACTTTAACATTTGTTAAAAGCACTCTCCCCACTGTTGTTCCATTTGTAGATCACTAAAATTAGATTCTTCCTGGTCAAAATAACATTCCTAGTTAGAACTGTAATAACAGATTTTCTTAAGTACATTTTTGCAACACAAACTGAATTTCAGAAAAAAAACACCAACAAAATTGTACTAAGAAGTTAAGTTTTCTTATTTATCTAGAAAATTTCCACAGTTTAAGCGGCGGCTATCACCTTGACTTGAATATGTATTTATTATATTTGAAATACATTTCTTGATAGTCAAAATAATACAAATGATGAACAGTAACAACAGGAATATGGAGACCTGTAATTTTCTTTTCAGATATCGGAAATACATCTTTAGTCAGACTAATACATATTAAGTATCTGTCAAGGTTTGGTTGTGGTTTGGAGGACCCAAAGGCAGAGAGGCTGAGGTGAATTCTTGAAGTTTTAATGAAAAAAACACTAGTAACAGAGGCAAATTCCAAAAATCCAACTAAAATGTAACTCAGACCAGAACCACGGACACATCAAGGGAAACACGCACAAGGAGCCAGGAAGAGACGAGGTGAGAGCATGATGACGACAACAGGACCAGCAACAACAAGGAACCAACAAAGAGTGAGAGCAGAGGGAGAGCATATAGCTGACAGAGACAAAGGGAGGGCTAACGAGCTGACAAGGAGCAGGTGTGAGAGGAGACAACGAGGGAGCCAAGGGGAAAAGAACACACACACACACACACACGCACACACACACAAGAGGGCTACAGAGGACAACAGAAAAACATGAGAACTAACAAATCTAGAAATTACAACAAAAAAGGAATTAAACCAATAAAACCAGGGAACATAAAGCAAAGTAAAGCACAATATAACCAAAACCATGAGACTATGGGTGTTATATTCCCAATAAATGATTGTTATTAGCTGTTATCAGTCACATAGAATGGCTTCAGATTGTGCCTCCTACCTTCCAGTGTGCTCAGTAGGTTGTTATCACAGAGTAAATCCTAATCCTCACACTAAAGTAGCCTAATTCCATTTCCCCTGCATAATTAATCAATTTATGTATATGTAATCTTAAAAATATTTCAGTAGTTCTTCAATTAGGCCTACTGTAAAATAATGCCTATGTTGAACAAACTAAAAATGCTCACATTAAACAAACTAAAAACAAATAAATCTCATATCTTGTCACCTGAGTTGTAGAATCCTCTCCCTGAAAATATTTAATTCTCTGTGAATTAATGCCATTCTTTAATAGGTTCCTCTTCAAATGGAAATGCACTTTATTTTCAAAAGCTAATGTCTTTAAAGGACCTAGTGAAGGATTTTTTTTATTGCAAAACCTATATAGAAAACTATGACACAAATCTGACTAAATCAGGAAAATAAAACTGTGGGATTAGCTCTAAGGAGAGGGGAGACAGAAGACAGTTTATTGAACAAAACCTGCTCCTGACCAGGTTAGCTCCGGGGATAATGTTACTATGATCACTGAAAAAGAGGTCGAGGAAACTCTCTTTGTGAAACGGAAAACTCAGTTTCCCATATTTCAGGTCTAGAAAACAAAAGATTTTTTTTGAAAACCTGCTAATTCCCAAAATCCCTGGAGTCTGTCTCACCACATAGCGTCATCTAACCTCATTATAGAAATTAGTTACTTAGACTTAATAAATGCTTGTTGAAATAAAAACAATATTAAATCTATGGCTGGAAGGAAATGAATCAATAAACAAATTTCTCCGCTTAATTTTCTAAATTAAGAAGAAAAAAGAAATAAAATAAATAAAAAGTGTTAAAGTAAACTATAAGCAAGAAAAAAGTGAGTCAAAGGAGTGTGGGAGAATATATTGAGAAAGAGGAGCAAAGAGCATGAAAGGGAGAAAAACAGTCATCGTAGAAAGATGGACAATGGAGGGAAATGGAAAAAATAAATCAAGAAGGAAACTGATAAAATCAAAAGTTAAGGAGGATTGAAAGATGACATTCAGGTTTCCAAGCAACATGAAATGTAATGTTTCCTCAATGTTTTTCCACAACAAAGAGAAACAAAGTGAGGGTCACCATGTTGAAGCAGACAGATCAGTCACTGCTGGCTACTACTAGCTGCTGAGTAAACGGCAGGCAAGTCTACTGATTTAAAAAATAGCTCTAGGTGTTGAGAGGAAGCAGCGTTCAAATATGACAGGGAAAAACAAAGCAGTAAGCCAAATGAACCAAAGTATCAGGAATAGGACTGTTACAGTTAACCTGAGACACATTGCTTTGAAAGGCTATAGAAGAATATTAATGTTTTGTTCGAATCATAGAGACCCATTTTTTACTGGGATTTTATGTCAAAGATCAGCAGTCTTCCTTTTTCCTCCCCTCAATACATATACAAATCAGTATAAATACCCAGCAGGATCCGACAATGCGTCAACATAACCATAGCAACAGTGAAAAAAATAATGTAACCATTTTTGGCATTTACTTAATCATATTTAGTTACCTTAACACAATTGTTTCATGTTAGCAGGATAGGAAATAAAACAATTGTGTTAAAGTAACTAAATATGATTAAGTAAATGCCAAAAACAGTTGCATTATTTTTTTCGGTGCTGTCAGGCCTTCACAAAGAAACTTTGTCAGAACACCTCAGGTAAATCTGTTACAGCTGACCAACAACTAAATGGATAAAATAAAAGAGTCACTTGATAAAGTAGAATAAAATAAAACTCTTTGTAATCATAAAACAAAGAGTCTAATTTTCTAACATTTTCTATCAATTTCAGATGGTTCTGTCTGCTGCATTGAGCTCAGTTATTATACTGATACCAAGTCATAATTAATGT